AACATTGTCTGGAACACTTGATGAATTGCGAATCAAGTTTCACTTCCCTCCCCCTCCACTCACAAATTACACCCCACTGGTCTCTTTACATCCCTCTGTTTTTAAAGTCCCCATCCGAGCATGCATAATCTCGTGTTACGTTTAATTTGAGTTTCACTCAATATTGGTTAAGATTGGGCCAATAATGTAAAAGTATGGACTAAAACTACCCTAATTATGTCTGACAAAGATTCCATTAAAATGACTCATCTGAATTTAAATGTAAATCAATACATTTTTGCTGTGAAGGATCAAACAGCAAAATATAGCGTTTTTCTTCGTATTTTTTTACAAATCAGGGAATGTGCAGTGAAAAATATTGAAATTAATACTGGGTTAAAGTAATTTAAATTTTATGATAATTTCAGCACCTGACAGTAGATTCAAATAGACAGAGAGGAGTTTTCATTTTCTCATGCATAGAATTCTAACTGATATCATGATGACTTTTATTGACTTTTATTTATTGAATAATTTGCCTATTCATTAATATGTTCTTTAAATATGTTTCCCAGTAGCATAAAATTGATGTTTTTGAATTCATACCTTAATTCAATCTGCTTATTTGCATACTTTAATCTGCACATAATAATTACCTCAGTTGCATACTTTACTTCAATCTGTGCATAGTAATTAGCTTATTTACATACTTTAATCTGCACATAATAATTACCTCAGTTGCATACTTTACATCAATCTGTGCATAGTAATTAGCTTATTTGCATACTTTAATCTGCACATAATAATTACCTCAGTTGCATACTTTACTTCAATCTGTGCATAGTAATTAGCTTATTTGCATACATGCATAGTAATTACCTTATTTGCAAACTTCAATTTGTGCATAGTAATTAATTTATTTGCAAACTTTTGCAACATACAGTTTAAATACAATAAAACATGTATCAGGTGCAAGTGCCTTGATCTTTGACAGGGTTACTAAATGTACAACACAGTTGTATCTCATGGTCATATGTCTGTAGAAAAACGCCTATTGAATGTATATGTGTGTTCTTAAGTGGGTTATACTGCCTTACATCTGGTGTGAATCGTGTGCATTCAACCACACTTTAAGATCTCATTTTGCAATTGTTTACATTGGTTAAATGTTGTACACACCATCCCAAATAATGGATTGAGTAATTAAATAATACTTTGTCTAATGAAATTAACCTAATTAAATAGTTAGATCACATTAATTGGCACAACAAACCTTTTATGGACAATAACAAAATTACCACATTCAGATACTATCATTTCCAAATAAAACTAGTTATACCTGCTTAATTGTTTTCATCTTACTGTTTTAAATTACCTCTATTGATTTTTTTAAAGTTTACAATCATGTTATTACTGACTGAAACATACTCTAATAGCTTAACCACTTAAATCTTTAATTTTAATAATAAAGCAGGGAGTCGTTACTTGCGTATACGTCAGATGGCCATAGCATGCCGTTATTTACAAACAAGCGTCTACCCATGAGCCTTTGCCTTTTTTGCATGCAGTGTTATCGCAGCTTGGGACTCAATTGCCGCACACTCGCAGGTGACAACCCCTCGCTTTAATAACAATTCAGGCTCAACCGGAAAATAATGTGTTAGTCAAATAGGCAATTTTATGTTTGCTGTGAGATTTCGTTCATAGCAAGATAGGTGTGGACTGAATGGGAAGTATGGTGTTGAGATATACTTTATTAAAATTGATCATTATCGATGTGTATAGCACATCATTAAGCATGGAAATACTCCAATTATATTTTCTCCTTAATCAAATCCAACACGCTACAACGCACTATGACCTTTGTTCGTCCTGTTTTTGACTCCCGTGTGCGAAGCACAAAAGGGAGTCTTTGCAGTTACCCTGTCTGTATGTCTGTATGTCTGTATGTCTGTATGTCCGTATGTCTGTATGTATGTATGTATGTATGTATGTATGTATGTATGTATGTATGTCACTTTTTTTGTTCCACCGTTATCTCAAGAACCACTAATCAAATTTTGGTAAAACTTGGTACATAGATGCTCTGGGATAATGCGCAGAGTTGATTAGGTTTTGGTAAAAATCTATGAATATTAAATACCTAATTTGCATGATAATTAACTGATTTTAAGCTGTTCCATGACTGTTCCACTGATATTTGAAGAACCACTCATTGGATTTTGATGAAACTTGGCACATGGATGCTCTGATCTAATGCGCAGATTTCATTAGTTTTGGGTAAAAATCTGTTTATATTAATTACCTAA